AAGAAACGTCCCTACGGGCTTGGAAAAACTACCCTTCACCTTCTAACTCTAGGCAAAAGGAGGAAAACACGGGAAACTACTTCTTCAAAGTTTAAAAGTCCAACTACACTCCAAGTGTAGCCAAACGTGCCTGTAGCACCGTGCTTCCTAAGGAAAACAAGAAGTTGGCCCGGACGCCCACCTTTATCCTCCCAAAGCACGATTAGCGTTTACACCCCTCTGGGCGGTCGGGTCACGCATCCTTCTTCACAGAGACTCGAAGTCTGGATGGTGCCCTTGCGCACATGCTGCCTACCCGGCGCGTAAGCGGAGTGGCGAGATGAAGGCTGTTGCAATCACAACTTAGGTGAAAGCACGCTCCCCTCGCAGTAGGGAGTTCTGGCCACTGAGCCTCCTGTTTTGCAGTGAGTCTGTTCGCAAAACTCTGGGCGACCCTGAGACACACCCTGTCACGAACCCTGTGGCAAAGAAAAGATTGAGCAGCACCACGAGAAGCTGCCACTCAAAGAAAAGTAACTGAACCATGGCATCCTCGAACACCTGGAGACCGTAGTGGTCCATTCCGTTGGCAAGATAGCCACAAAAACCGAAGATCTGAGGCGAAATGGCTGCACAGAGGAACTTAGTCACTCCAAACCCTCCAAAACCCTCCTACACAGTATCTCCGGATAGTGTTGTGTTTCTCGAAGTACGAAACGGAGAGAGTGGTTGTGCGACTTGTCGCACCGAAAGAAGTTGAGACCACTTGCGACCCTGGCGTGTGTCACCATCACCCTCCAGCGCTTGGCTACAGGAAGCCTGTCATTCCCAAGAAGGCCGGAAGCACAACCGTCAACGCATGAGGTGTGCACTGGGTAGTCCAGGCGTTCAAAGAAAGACTCCGCCTGCTTCCAATAGGCGCATCGGGCAGGCCATTCCACTGCCCAGTGATCCGCAAGATTGCACATGGTCCTCACCACAGACTAGAGCTTCCAATGAACCGACCAGAGACCATCCAGATGCTTCTGGTACTCCGTGCCGCTAATACGAGCATCCCCCGTGCATGGAGTCGAGCTCCAGAAAACGTGTACTTTCGGGAACTCTCCAGCACAGACCCGACAACAGTGAAGCGCAAAACTCATTCTTACCCAACCCTTCCTTGCGGTGTTTCTAGGAAAAGAGAGGTGTAACGAAGTGTTGTCCGCACCGGTGTGTTGGGTTCTTTTGCAGCGCGTGCACCTCCACAAAACTCCTTCACACTTCATGTCGTGCGACTGATGCCAAAATCGCGGCTCTGTTTTGAGAAGGCCTCTTCCACCAAAGATTCTGGTCCCAAACAAGTTCAACTTTGTTTAGGGGTCCCTTTTCTTCGTAGCACACCCGCAGAGGACCCGTAGAGACCTGCAAGGGACCCGCGATTTCAATATTCGGGCAAGGCAAGACCAAGGTCCCAACCAAGCCGAAGCAAGGTCCGAAAAGCTCCAGCTCACCAGAAGCCAGCAGCCCGGCTGAACAGCCAATCCTTCCAAGAGAACCAAGACAGATCCTAAAACCCAATGCGGAAGGGAGCTTTCATCTTTTTCTGCTTCTTGGACGGCAGCAAGTCGAGCTTCGCGAGCGCGCGGGCGGACGCATTGTCTTCGTACAGTGCCAGCTCCGCTAAGAGAAGAAAAAAAATGCACCGCAAGGCTTGTTGCATTCGAGGCGTTCTTAACCAGTGTCCGCATTGCATTTCTTTTGTTGGCATGGCATAGCATGTCTAACTTGGAGAACGAACTTGTAAAGCCAACAATTTGCAACAGCGGAGACGACAGAGTTGTGATTCGATTCCATTTTTGGCCGCCATGCCGAGTTCCAGGTTATGTTACTGTTGCATTGCTTTTCTCGCGTTTCAGTGTGTCAGAATAATTATTGTTATTTGCTGGACTGGTGCGATGGGACAGTTTGCGATGGATCTTTGAGAAGAAACCATATTTTTCGGGCAAAAACGGATGGCATCGTCGCGGCGAGGTCTGCATACTGCAAGTTTCATTCGGTTTCGTGTTGCGTTACAAAAAGATGGAAGTTGGAAAATTTCCATCGACAAACTAAATCATCCCGATGGGACAAGCGAACAGCCCAAAGACAACATAAATGATTGGGTGGAATCCGTTTTGAACAACAATTCCGTCATCGATGGAATCGATGGTTGCTTGCCAGAGGACTTGCCCGAGGATTGTATTGAAGGCGATGGTGACCCTTAACTCAAGGTAAATCCATATCCGTTCTGCTTTTGCACATGTGGACAGAATGTTAATCTTGTTGGATTTGCGCCGCACAAAAATCTGAGCATGCTTTTAAATCAGGAGAATCTGTGTCGCAACGTGACAGTTTTGTGGCTGCAGCCATTTTGCATGTTTAAGGTTGGGATTAGTTTTGCACCTCATTTTGGCGAACAGCGAGGAACGATAACTTTGGACGAAGCGAATACACACCTGGAGAGTTTTATCGCTTGTGACCGAGAGTGAACAGTTGATTGACTGATCCATGAGCGTGTCCATCCCCATGTGCTTGTAGAATCCCTGCTGTTAGACGAAAGTCTGCAGCAGGTTTCAGGCTGGCACACTGCAGTGTAGAAGAGGTGAAAATGTGTGTTGGCATGTGCAAGCAACTGTTTCATGGTGCATCGCGACATGTCTTTATGTGTTGGTAGATGGCTGTACATTCAACGTCATACGTCATAAAAGGTGTTTGTTTTGCATGGACCTATCAGATTGGATCCGCAACATCCGGCGTGTGAGATTGCTTGGTGTGCTTCTCGTTGGTTGTATCTGGATGTTGCGATGGGGAATCAGGACGTCAATGCCACTGTTCTTCCTTCGTTTTGCCCGAACAGGCGCCACTGGCCGCCATGGCGAAGAGGAAAAACAAAGTCAAACGAAATCCAAAGGGCAGCTCGCCTAGTCTACGGGTGAACTTCAATGTTTTACGTCATTTCAGGAACCCCTCCGTGGCTGGTACATCGTCTACATTGTACGTACATGAAACCTGGAGAGGTTTGTGTCGAGGGTGTAGTACTCATCCAAGGTGGCATCAAGAAGGGTGACAAGATTCACGGACAAAAGAAGGGAAAGAAAGGTGAAGCCGCCGCCTACGTGACAAGAGCACAGGCTGGATGGGCAAACCAGGTGCTGCACGAATTGCGATGTTCGGCGATTTCCTGGGCTTGGATGTTGGAGTCATTAGTGTGCAACTTTGTCGGCAGGCCGTCGTGATAGAGTATGAGTTGCCGCGAGTCAGAGTCGCTTGCCTACTGATCGTGTACCTATCGAGGCCCTGGCGAAATTGCAAATTCCGCTGGCGGACTTCCGAAAGCTTTGTATTCTGAAGGCAGGAACCTTGAATTTTATGCAGTTTTTGGTTCATATATGGCTGCAGATGCTAGATCTCTCAATCGCCTACACCTGAAGTGCATCTTCGAATGCCTGCTTGTAAAGTACGGTAGTTCGTTGATTCGTTGAGCACGCACGATCCTTTGACGTTGCTCATCATCAGGCTCACGGCCACCCACGGCCTCCCCCAAGCTACATCGAAGCCCTGTTCAGGGCATCTATCCGCGGGATCCCAAGAAGAAGGCCCATGGCAACGACAAGACGTACTACCATCAGAAAGACATTGCCTTTTTGAGGCATGAGCAGGGCACTCAGACTTTTTCGACAGCCCTTGCCGTATTTTTTCGGCCCTCGAGTGTGGGAAGTCTGAGGCCATTGCTCAACAAGTTCTTCGAACTGAAGACTTTCATGAAGAAGTTTTCTTCTCAGATGAACCCGCTGGTTGGCCTTGCCTTGCGACAGCTTTGTCCCGAGGTTCAAGCGGCTGATGGGTCGACGAGAAATAAAGACTGCTAGGCGCTTCGAGGAGCCACCAAACAAAATGCCGTTTTCGTTAAGCTTGATCGTTTCAGGATGAATAGCCGGACAGAGTTTCACACACTACGAGTTGCATGCATGGAAAATCATGGAAGCAAGCCTCATTCCTGCCATTTAAAGACTGGCCACTGGAATTCCTCATATTCAGAACGGCATTTCGCAATTGAAGACCAGGCCTGGGCACAGGAACTGGATGAAGGTCGTGTTAAGCAGCGCGGGAGTCGTATTATTCACGATTTGATTTTTGGCGTAGCGGTCGGGCGGTAACTGGAACTGGCCCGGCGACAAGTGCAAAAAAGGTCCCAATCAACAATAAGTGAGCTCTTAGTAAGAGCTCGGAGGCGTTAACGAAGTTTAGTTGGCTTCGACACACCGTTTCATAGGCTTTTATTCTCAGGAGAGAAAGCCAAAGTACACGCTTCATCATCTTGTGCGGGAAAGGCCCGCATGGGGTCTAGTACGCTGCTTCAGGGCGTATGGGTCGTCAGGCGACGGCAGGAGCTTCTGCGCAGACCTAGATAGTGTGAAGTCCTGTGACTTAGCATGCTCTGAGTCAGAACTTGTCATTTTGCAGAACAGCGTTGTGCAGGTATCCATCCTTTGATGACGCTGTCCGTGATTTGGACGATGCTGCATTGCTCTTGGACTTGCAGCCAATACCTTCAATTTGTCAGTGGCTTCTGTTTGCATCGACGCCATTTTAAACAAGGTGAGTATGCTGGCTCTTTTCCAGTCGCTTTCTGCTGACCAGGCCATGCATGCATTCGTTTGATTTTGAATTTGACATCAGGCTAGAAATAACGTGCGAGCGTGGTAGACCGGAGAGGAGGGTCGCTGCTGCGTCTGTTCTTGCCGCGTGATGCAAATAGACGAGTTTTTTGGGCATCATCATACAGGCTCTGCCAGCAACATCTTGGCGCGAAAAGGCATTGATCCGCCTTCCCATTGCACTGCTTTCCCCAATATTGGGTAACGTGCCGGCTTGTAACCCGATGTCCAGAAAATTGACGGGCAAGCGGCGCATGCTTGAGAGCGCTAGCTTCGATGCATGAACCATCCCAAAGCAAAGGGAAGCAGCATCAAGCTACACACGAAGATGCTGAACTGCGTCTTCATGCTCAACATCCGTCCGTACCTAATCAGAGGTTGATAAACTCGGCTGAACATCTTCCACAGCCTCCATACTATCATACATCCTGGGCCAGGCTGTGTAAATCCAAACAGAATTTGCGAAATCTCCCCACGGCCGTTTCTATGAAGACATGCACCAAGCAACCTTAAGCTCCGAGTGTTCGGGTAACTTATGCACAGAGGCGTGTTCGAAAGGTTGTTTTTCTGCCTGCTCCCGATGAAACACTGCCGAAAGATGCAGCCGGTGCAGGCCAAGGACATACCCGTCGAGGCCATTACCGAAGCCACGCAGCTGTATCAGGAGCTATTGGCTGACGTTATCTGTTCATGGGGATAGCCAGAACATCTTCATGCTCTCCCGCAGCAGTTCAGGAATTCCAGCTGTACGTCATTCGTGCACAGGCCTGCTTCACTCAATTCAATCTGAGCAGTAACGGGTTTGGAGGGAGTCATCATCGGAAGTGCTACCAGCCAGGCCACGAGTATGTTGTTGGTATAGTTTCCAAAAGCTGCGAGATTCAAATGCCAAGACAGAGTGCTTGCGTTTGTCGCCCGGAATCGTGCTCCAGTAACACCGGCACCCACGCTGTACACCCTTCCGCGCCTTCTGGCATAAAATTCGGGTCTGCTGTGGTTGTTTGGGCTGGCGGGTGTGGTCCCTCGTTCTCGAAATGTTTTCGGCGGCTCCCTGCTGTTATCGTGTGACTTATTTACGTCTTGTTTCCTGTGTGCAGACAGTCCATTCGGATTCATGTGCCTTTTTAGCGACTTTTGCTTGGACGCTATCGGCTTCTTCGGTCTCTACGCCTCTGTGTACAGTTATGGCTGGCTCCAGCCTTCCCCAGGCGAGTACTTCAGTACAGTCTCGACCCATTGCATTCTGCATTCCCCCTGTGGGCTCACAAGTGCTCAAGCTTTCCCGCTCCCTCCTACTTTCCTGCCATCTTCACAGGCGCCACGTCATTTGGAAGTGATATCGAAATGGCTGCAGGACTGGAAGCTCTGAAGGTGCACGGGCAAGGGCAGGGCCAGGATCAGGCCGAGACAAGGGCCCGGATCGACGAGATGAACCAGTGCCTTCCTTGCAGCGGCTGGTAGGAGCACAGTGCGTGGCGATGATCAGGGAGGCCCTGCAGGTGAAGGTTGGCCCCGCTTGCTGGCCCCACCTTGCAGACAGCATTCTCACGGAGACAATGCAGCACGAGTCAAAGATGCTCAAGTTTCGTACTGCCTGGATAGGAAAAAGCCTCATGTGTTGACATATCGATGCAGCCAAAAGACCCTTGTGGTGATTGATAAATTTCCCGGACTGGCGAGACGGCTTTCCAGGAGAATGACTCCATGGAGTCTGTAGGGCCCCTTCTTGCCCCTTCCTCGCCCCGATCCGCATCCTCACAGTCCGACGTATACGCCCCGGAAGAAGATCACACGACCCGGAAGACGATCATGGATACGTATTACTGTGTTGTTGTTCACTACCGGCACAAGGCGCAGCAGGACACAGACACCAACAAGCCATGCACGGGCTGCTGAACGCCTACCAAAAGTTGCTTTCCAGATGCAAGCGCGAAAGCTTGATCCCTGGGTGAAAAACAGTGAGCTTGGAAAGAGTGCACTACAGCGAAACGACTCACAGCCTCAGAGGTACAGCAGGCACTGTGGCCGATTGGAAGTGTGAGGTACAACCCTCGGCCGAGCGCAAAAGCAGGATCCTTGAATGCTGGCGTGACAACGTGTGCGGCCAGATCAAACGACAGATCTCACAAACGGAGTTCGAACCCCAGAAGCACAGCCAGGACTACGTCGCGGCAGCCTTCACACGAAGTCGATCCCACAGGGTGGCACCTTTGAAGTTAGCTTGTCCCGTACATAGAGCTCACCCTTTGACAGCAACCGCTCGAACCGGATGCGCTTTGAGGAATTTTGTCTGGTCGAGCTCATGGCGGAGATGGCCGGTAATAAGGCCATGGATGCCACAGTGCAGCCGCGTGAGAAGCCTGGTCACTTTTGCCTCACAGGGAACGGGCCAAGGAACGACACGAACAAAACACGCGTTTCGTCAATGCCTGATCAATGTTACACACAAAACAAACGAAGTCACAAGAGTTGTCGTGAGGCCGAACCGCACAAGAGTTGTCGTGAGGCCGAACCGCAAACATTCGGAGCGAACAGGCCGATGGAGGAGAGACAGTTCAAATCAGTTGTAGGCAGTCTGTCGTGGATACTTGGGCAGTCCAGTGTTCAAGCCCCAGAGCTCAACCAAGTCGCGCTAGTGTAGCGATCGTGCACGCAACCAACACGGTACTCGAATTCGAACTAACCCTCGAAGGTAGAGACCGCCATGTTGGAGTGCCGCCGCGGACGAATCATGTCTTGGCGCCTTCCGAGCAACTATGATATCCGAAATGCACTGGCTACGACATGGTGGTTGTGTCGTTTTCCAGCACTACCAGCAAAAGGGTATGCCGAGCCGGGATTGCAAGAAGAGGGCGATCGAATTCCAGCCACTGTGACCGAAATTCGTGGATTCGGGACCGAATCTGCCAATTTGCGCCCGAAAAGGAATTCCAAACGGTCCTGACGGGTTGCAGGAGTTTGGCAGAGCACACAGATTACAATCGGTCTTCAATGACGACGGCGATGGTGCCGCCGACCTTTACCTGAGAAGGGGAGATGCAGTCGACTGGGCAGACACAGCGGCTCCAGCCGCAGACTGGTTTCACAGAAAGCATGAAACCGGACTTTGAGCTCAAAACCATTGATTCTGAACTGTGAGCGCAGGACAACACGGGCAGAGAGCAGACGCCCCAAGCCGGCAGTAGTTTGAGTGTTGACCTTAGTGGCTGAGTTGTGTGGAGCCTCTGCATGCAGGCAATACCGAGTGTTTTGATCACCTGCAGTTCAGTAGTTAGGCAGCGAATGCCATTTGCAAGCAGCATTGCCTGTAGAGTAGAATCTCCGTCGGACAGCTTTGTGCAGTTGGTTCAATACAACAGAAGAGGTAGATTTTTGTTGTGGCGCCTGTTTTGTCAGTGTCATCCTAGTTGTTTTGCATCGCGCAGGCTGGCTTGCACTAGCAAGCTCGTTCATTCAGGTTTCTGGCTACAAGGCATGCAAGCACGTGATTTTTCAACACTGTACAGAACGTACTTCTACATGTTTGCTCTTGTGCATGGTTTCCGCCTCGGTAATGAACGTGACTTGTTGAACATGGTGCAGTTTAGGGACATTGAATCTTATCAAAATGAGCTTCACGTTGAAAAGGAAAGCCCACCAGTTTCAAAACACGGCTAGCTTGTCATTGTAGGACATACTGCCAGGCATGACAAGTACGTCCGCAAGAGTGGTGTGTTGCCAGGCCTTGCGGAAAGTCTTCGCATCAATCAAGGGCTACTACTTCCAGGCCGTGGCATGCCGACTTGTTGTGCATGGACAGCGCCTGTAAGCAATGCCATCTTGCTGAAGTATTGTACCATCATTGTGCGGCCCAATCCAAAAAGTGTCTTTTGGTTTGCATGGTCCGCGGTTCGATGATGTAATATGGCCGATCTTCGACCTGGCATCCACCCGACCCAGTATCCCTGGTCCAGCATGACAGGTGCTGTTGCTGCAGGTCTGAATTCTGAAATGAAGATGTGTGTTGCCAAGCACGTCGCGAAAGATCCGTGCATTGACTACGAGTGACAGGAAGAGCAAGGCCGTTCGCCGGTTGTATGATTCGAATCATATACAGCTCATAATGGGCATACCCGCAGTCTTGCTTAGAGATGCACCAAACGGAAGGTTGCGGTGAAGCTAGCAGGGTTTCCCAACAAGTTGGAGAGGTTGAGTGAGATGTTTTTTCTCATGGCCTGAATCCAAGTAGGCGGACATCCTTGGCCATTCCGTGACGTGGCTGGCTCCCCATCAGTTCGCACAGGCAGGAACATGAGCTACTGTGCTTTGGGAGTTTTGAATACTCCAGTGCTGAGGAGCTTCCGGCGGAGGTCCCCGCAACAAATTCCTGCGTTCTTGTTTTGCTTGCAGAGATTCTTCGAGGTCGATTTTCGCGTCATGTTAACCTTCCTCGAATTTTATCGTGCCATGGTCAAGCCGGAGCCCAAGATCACTGAAGATGGAGGCATCTCGGAGTGATTCATGGCTGAAGGTTTGTCAATTTCCGGCTGTATGGCGATCTTGGTCTTACATATCCGCCGAGGCCGCTGGAGCGGCTGTATTTACAAGCCTCAACTCCTGCTAGCTACGCAGTTCCGTTCGCTGGCCAGGCGGGATGCTGAGCTTGAGCGCACCTCAGCCGACGTGGCAGCCCTGGAGACGGAGATGAGAGAGGCCGTGAGAAGCATTCTATTGTCAGCATTTCTTCAGGTTGCCACCAAGCATTTGTTCACTTTTGCGTGGCCAGCATTGCAGATTGCACAAGATCGCTGATGATACATCGTTTACGCGTTCACATGAGTATGAATCGAGCTTGGGGTATGTCGGTGCATGTACGAACACGTATATGAACACGTGTAATGCGGGTGTATGTCTATGTGTGGTATGGTATGGTATGGTATGGTATGGTATGGTATGGTATGTATGTATGTATGTATGTATGTATGTATTTATGTATGTATGTACCTACGTGTCCGCTTGTCGATTGTAGCTTTGCATGCCTTTGTGTGTCTCTGTGTGTCTGTGTGTGCGCGTCCAAAGCAACCTACTCTGAATACAGTTCTACACCTTGATTGTGCCAAACGTTGGAAACCTAAGCATATCTTTGCATACCATACTGTAGGTGTTTCATGGCTAAGCCTGTGCATGTATACGTACATGATACCTTGATGGTCTGTCCCACCGAGGTTTCAGTGTAATTCAGCACGGTCAGCATGTATGCTGAAACGGGGAGGAAGATGTGGAAGCGCTCATCCCCAGTCATTTTTCCTCGCTGGAGCATGCCGAAGTCCGATCTGTGGCAAAGTGTCAGGGTCTTTGGTGCTGGCTCATGCTGTAGAGCCGTCTTCGCATGGCATCATATACACATGAGTACTTCTGCAACACGCAGCAACAAGAAACTTCAAGAGCCCTCTTGCTGGATGACTCGCAAGTCAACATGTGGCCTTCGTCAGTCGGATCTCGGATTTGGCCCGCAACATTTGGAGTGTGGCTTGGTGCAAGTATTGAAAAAGAGACTGGGTCGCTGTGAGAGTGCGCTTTTTCGTGTTGCAGTGGCAGTTGTTTCAGCTAACGAGCTTAACTAGTTTAACGATAAGTTAGATGAGGAGTGTCCCGTTTTGTAAAAAATCACTGATGTGGTAGGCAGACGACATCAAAAGATGTTTCGAGTGTATATCGGTGCTTGTTAGCCTCGCAGGCTGGAAAAGCCCAGCAGCTGCACAGCCAGGCCTTGCTTCAGCGGGCATGGGCGAAGTCAACACAGAACTTGAGGTCCAGTCTACCCCGAGACGTTGCGCGAAACAGCTTGCGAGTGAACATCATGGTGACAAAAATCTTTTGCGGACTCGTGGCGAAGTGGTGGGACATGTGGCCAAGCCATTTTCACAGAACACGGCTTAATGGGCGTGTGCATTGTCCATATTCAGCAATATGGGATTGGTTCTGCTTCGCTGCCACGTGGCAGGACAGCACCGACATTGCGACGAGTGCACTCAAGGACTTCGGAGATGAAAGCGAGGCTGTTGTTTTGTACATTTTGCCCTGCTTGGAATGGGATTCGAGCAACGAAGGCTGCAGAGATCCAGCAAAGTTTGGCGAAGTCTGGAAGAGTGAAGACCCGTGGCAGAGTTCTAGAGACAGTGTCTAGCGAACGCCGAATATTGCAGGTCCCAAGGTAGCTCTGAGATCTTCCCAAGTTGTTCGGCATGGTGAATCTGGATTGGCTTGGCCTTGTTATGCATGACAAATTGCATCAGGGATCATCACGATAATGCCGTGTCTGCAAACTGCAGTTGCTCACGGCTTCTGGACAGGCTTTGCATGCAAGCAGCAGGAAGACAAAGGTCTTTTGTGGGCATGCATCGTGGTCCTGCAACTAAGGACGACGTTCAGAGGTTTGCGGGTCTTCATCAACCGGGAAGTGCCACTGAGGATCTCCGAGCTGTGCATGGAACATATTCGCCTCCCATAATGCAATTCTCTTTGCAGGCCCTTATACTTCGTTCTTCTTTGTGGCGGAGTTGCTGAGGCACTACGTGGCAGGTGTAAGGTTTTCGGGAAGGGCTAAGCTGATGCTTCACACACATGGCCTTTTGCCAAATCACACCAGTAGTTGTTCGTTCTTGCCGTGCACTGTTGTTAAACTACAAACCAGTGAGACGAGCGAAATTTGATACCGGGTAAGCGTGGGTGTCGGATTTTCGGTGCATCTGTGCCTGGTCTCCCAGCAAGGTGCATTTGGTTTTGGTCAGAACGTCTGACGGCTGAGCTTCCAAGTTTGGCAGCGATCGAAATCGATTCTATAAGGACTTCTATTACCGCCTCAAGGTACCAGCAGCAAGCATAACACAGGTTCGAGCACCTGTGCGATTTCGCGGGTCTGTGGCATTGTATTGGCTTCAAGATCCTCCCCCATACTCCTCCTCCTCCTCCTCCTCCTCCTCCTCCTCCTCTCTCTCTCTCTCTCCATAGATTCGTGGGTGAAAAAATTGTCTGGGTCCGAAACTCGGTTTTATTTAGAATGCTGACCGAAAAACTATGCCACGAATTTGGGCCCAGCACGACGGAAAGTTTGATCGTACGTGGGAACATTAGCTGGTCAATTTCGCGGGAGCTGGAAACGCTTTCCGGGAAGCGGAGCAGGAAATTACCTCCGGTAGCTAACACGCTTTGAGCTCAATCTGGCGCAGCAAATCAACAACATGTGGGCCCCAGAATGATGTTCTCTGCGGAACCGGACGGCACGGAATGTGTCAAGAACTGCTTCAGGACGCCTTTCGAAGAAAGGACGAGGCAAGGGCGGACAAAGAATGACATGACACTTCTCAGCATTGAGTTGAAAATGAGAAATGAAGGACATGGAATCAGTTTTCAGAACGCCAAAACATTGCCGAGACATGAGAAGCTTCAAAAGGCTCAACAGTCGAGGACGCTCTTAGACAGGGGCTGCCTTTTTGTGTTACTTTCAGGAGCTGAAGGAGGCCTACAGACACACTTCCACAGCAGTCACTGAGCCTAAAGCACAGGAAGATCCCAACGGGCTCCGAAGAGGCACCGACAGGCACTGAGAGAATCCGACAGAAACAGCAAAAAGGCAAGGGAGTTTCCAAAGGTTCCTTCGAGGCCAGAAGAGCCAGCATCTATCTATGTTGTAGAAGCTCTCTCTGTATCGGTCAAGATTTTCAAAAAGCTTCATGTTCAACTTGCTTAAACCTCCCAGTCTGCCCTGCAGGAGCCAAAAAACATCGGGAACCCAAACAGGTCATGAAAATGCTGATAAAGCTTTTGGGAGGTGCCGACAGGCCCAGGAGGCCTCAAACGGCCGCGAGCATTTTCAAAGGTCCGGGAAAAACATGCAACAACTAAAGAGCGATGTTTTATTGTAGCAACTGTTTGTCAATCTCCTTGCCTGCCCAGCCAGGTACCACTGCACGAAGACGCCATAAACTTGAATGCTATTAAAAATGGTTTGGCTGCCCGATTGCCTGCCCTGATAGCATTTGGCAGACTGCGCAAAAACTGAACAAGTGTTGAACTTTCTGAAACATGAGGTGCAATGCATCGAACAGGAGTATTTTCCGTAACGGGAACGCGCCGACCGTAACCGAAGCTTGTAACAAGAACAGGCCCCCGGATCGTAAGGCCAACCCGGTGATTTCCGTAACCGTAGCAGTGTGGGGGCAGCCGTTTGTAACATGAACCTGAGTCTTTGGCTTCGAAGTATTAGGGTTTAGGGTTACCGGGTCCAGGGTTCAGGGGTTAGGATTTAGAGGTTTAGGGTTTGTCGGATTTAAGTTTTAGGTAGGAGTTTAGGGACTTCACCTTGGTGACAAACACATGCGCACACATGAACATATCTGCTATCAGTTCAATCTTTCATGCATCACTTGGAACCTATGAAACTGCAACCGTTGCAAAAGATGTTACGACTGTCAGCCTGCCTGCTTGTCCGTCAGATTGTGCCTTCATGTGAGAAACGTATACTTTATGCGTAACATTGCATGGTGTGTGCACCCTCTGAGTACATATGATGCAGGGCTGCCACACCCCCCCCCCCTCCCCTGGTATCCCCCGCCGCCCCCCCTGTGGGGTGGGGCCTGTGGTGGTGCCCTTCCCCGACCTCCCCTGTGGTTTCGTTGTTGTGGTGGGCTGTGAACCCCGGAACCCCGGAACCCCGGAACCGGGGAACCCCCGGAACCCCCGAACCGGGAAACCCCCGGAACCCCGGAACCGGGGAACCTCCGAAATTCCGGAACCAGGGAACCCCGAAACCCCGCAACCCCGGAACCGGGGAACCCAGAACCCCAGAACCGAGGAAATCCCGAAACCCCGAACCGGGGAAACCCGGAACCCCGGAACCCCGGAACCGGGGAACCCCGGAACCCCGAACCAGGAACCCCGGAACCCCGGAACCCCGGAACCTCGGACCCCGGAACCCCGGAACCCCGGAACCGGGGAACCCCCGGAACCCCCGAACCAGGGAACCCCGAAACCCCGGAACCCCGGAACCAGGGAACCCCGAAACCACGGAACCCCGGAACCGGGAACCCCAGAACCCCAGAACCGGGGAAATCCCGGAACCCCGAACCGGGGAACCTCGGAACCCCGGAACCCCGAACCGGGGAACCCCGGAACCCCGAACCAGGAACCCCGGAATCCCGGAACCGCGCAACCCCGGAATCCCGGAACCCCGGAACCGGGGAACCGCCGGAACCCCCGAACCAGGGAACCCCCGAAACCCGGATCCGGGGAACCCCCGGAAGCCCGGAACCAGCCCGAAACCGGAACCCCGGAACCGGGGAACCCCAGAACCCCAGAACCGGGGAAATCCCGGAACCCCGAACCGGGGAACCCCGGAACCCGGAACCCCAAAACCGGGGAACCCCGGAACCCCGAACCAGAAACCCCGGAACCCCGGAACCGCGCAACCCCGGAACCCCGGAACACCGGAACCGGGGAACCCCCGAACCCCCGAACCGGGGAACCCCCGGAACCCGGAACCGGGGAACCCCCGGAACCCCGGAACCAGGGAACCCCGAAACCGGAACCCCGGAACCGAGAAACCCCAGAACCCCAAAACCGAAGAAATCCCGGACCCCCGAACCAGGGAACCCCGGAACCCCGGAACCGGGAAACCCGGAACCCCGAACCAGGAACCCCGAAACCCCGGAACCGCGCAACCCCGCAACCCCGGAACCCCGGAACCGGGGAACCCCCGGAACCCCCGAACCGGGAAACCCCCAGAACCCCGGAACCAGGGAACCCCGAAACCCCGGAAGCCCGGAACCGGGAACCCCAGAACCCCAGAACCGGGAAATCCCCCCACCCAGCTGAGGCTTTGGTTGGCCTTGTTCGCAGTTGTGCCTGCTGCCTGTGATACTGCTCATGATGTTGTGCTCTAGACGGCGACGCGGATCATCTTTGACATAATGCTGAACATCATCATTGTCGTCGTCATCTTCATCATCAGTATCATCAAAGAACAGCTGCCACCATCACCATCGCCATACAACCCTCATAATCAAGCACTGGTAATTCGTGTCTGGTGCGGGAAACTACTGCTGCACAGATT